GGCCCGCAGCTCCTCTGCGAGCCCGGCGACCTCTTCACGGGGCGACGAGAGGTCAGCCGCGTCGAGTAACTGCGGAGAGCTCTCGCTTCAGCGCGCCAACGGCTCGAGGAGGCAGGTGACCGCGTCGTCTGCAACGGAGGACTCCGCAGCAGCTCCAGCCAGACAAGAGAGATGGGGAGCACGGGGGGGGAGGCCAGGCGTGGGTCTGTGCGCAGGAGACTCGGCTCTCGGGTGTGTGACGTTGTGTGGGCAAGAGAAAGCCCAAGGTGTGTTGTCCAAGCGCGAAGCGGGGTGTAAATCTCCTCTCTCTCAGGAGACAGGTGGAACTTTGAAAGGTTTTGATCTTTGTCAATTTGTCAAACGATTCGCCCGCGTGTGGGCGGTGCAGGTCCGCACCGCTATTGACTTGTTGCAAAAAGTCTCGCTCTCGGTGCTGCAAAAAACGCAAAAACTACCAAAACGCTGTCACGGCCAGCTCGGCACTATCTACTCAAAAAAGTGACGTAGAGCAGGTGTGTGTACTTCTTGCTTGGGCGGCAGCCATGACGGGGTAGGTAGGGTAGGTCTGGCTGGGCCCTCCCATCGGGTTTTTCCCACTCTTCCCGCTGGAATTTCACGGCAGAAAAAGAAATTTTCCGGGGAAATCACGATGTCAACATGGGTCACCGGGTGATCTGGTGCTTGTAGGGCCTTGGCCTGCCATGTCGTAGGAAGGACTGTGGTTGCAGGACAGTACCACCAATTGTCAGTTGGATGCGACGGAGGCTGCGAAGGAGGTCGAGAAGCCGGCCAAGACCGTTTCCAACTACACGCCCGACCCAGCGGTGGTGAGCGCGCCGAAGCATTCTCTCCTGGCACTCTCCTCGCTTCCCACGTGCGCCGTAATTCTTGTTTCGCTCATTGCACTTGGCTGGAAGCGGGAGCGAGGCAGCGAAGCTTTAATGGCCGAGGAGCAGCTCTCCGAGTACGAGAAGGCGCGCCTGGCCCGGATCGAGGAGAACAAGCGCATGCTCGTCGCACTTGGCATCGAAGAGGCGTCCAGCCAGTGCCGGCACAAGACGCCCGCCGCAAGCAAGAGCAAGGCGCGGGCGGGGCCGCCGCCGCTGTCCGATGTGCAGCGCGCCGCCCTCGCCCGCGCCGAGCAGTGGCTCGAGCGGTTCGAATGCTGGCTGCGGGGTGAGTGCTCGCGCGCGAACGCCGACAAGGTGATGGAGCGCGTCTCTGAGCTCGTCTCGGGCAGGGGCGTAGCTCTCAAGGGGGGCGTGGAACCGGCCTACTTGGGGAGAGCCGTCTCCATCTCGGATGACCTGGTTGCGCTCAAGGAGCACGCCACTGCGGCGTACGGAGCCCTCGATAACGGCGGCTGGCACCTCCGCCACCCAATCGGCAAGCTGATCAAGTTTCAGCAGGTGCTCTTCTCGTCGGGCGGCGGCGGAGCGACGTCGGAGGCGGCGAGCAGCAGCGACGACCTGGAGAGCGGCGGCGGCACCCCCTCCTCTTCGAGCGGTGCGGCGGCCGGCTGGCTGGTCGAGGGCGCCGCGGTGGAGGTGGAGATGGACGAGGAGGGGCTGCGCGGCTCTCGGTACGGCGCTACCTTCCTCGGGTTTGCGGACGAGGCGAGGCGCGTCGCGCGTCTCCAGTACACGCACCTGACGGCGGAGGAGGGGGGCGAGGAGAGACAGCTCGTCGAGGAGGCCGCTGTCGCTATCCAGCAGCCGATGAGCAACGCATCGATGACGGTAGGAGCGGCTGGTCGAGGAGGCGCCCTGCGCGCGGCTGCGGCCGAGCCCGCCCGCAATCCTCGGCTGGTCGAGCCGGCTGCGGCCCGGCGTGCAGTGCGAGCTGTGGCACGAGGACGGGTGGTGGGAGGTGGTCGTGTACGAGAAGCGCAGGCCGCCCAAGCCGCGCGGCGGGCCCGCCCAGTTCGAGGTGTACTCCGAGACGTACGGCGAGGTCGAGGCGACCGTGGGTGCTGGTCGGCTCCGCCCGAGGCTCGTGCCGGCGCACGTCGCGAGTGGGCTCGCCCTCCGACTGGGTGTTGAGCGATGGTGCATAAGCAATAGGCTCGTGCTCGTGCACGGCCGCGAGTGGCTCGCCCTCGCGCCGTTCGGATTCAAGTGCGCCGTCGGCGCGGCGGAGCACGTCTTCTCGCGCGCAGAGGCCGAGGCGGAGGCGGCGGCGGACAAGGCGGCGGAGGAGGCGGCGACGGAGGCGGCGAGCGGCGCGGCGGCCGGCGCGAAGACGAAGAAGAAGAAGAAGACCACGACGAAGAAGCGGCCGCGCGGTGAGGCCGAGGCGGGCGAGGAGGGGGCAAAGGCGGCCGAGGCGCCGAGCGGGCTCCCAAAGGCGGGCTCGCTGCGGCTGCACCTGCTGACCGCCCTCTGCGCCGGCCTGTCGGACCGCTCCGCCATCGTCGGCTGGGTGGGGCAGCGGGCGAGCGGCCGGTTCGGAGAGGGGTCGGCGAGCCGCGGCGACGCGGTGACGACACTCTCGGCAAGGAGAAGTCGATGCCAATGAACACTAACAGTCGATCATCTTCTTTAGGTGACGACTCTCGGCAAGGAGAAGTCGATGCTAATGAACACTAACAGTCGATCATCTTCTTTAGGTGACGACTCTCGGCAAGGAGAAGTCGATGCTAATGAACACTAACAGTCGATCATCTTCTTTAGGTGACGACTCTCGGCAAGGAGAAGTCGATGCGGGTGCCGCTCTGGCGGCAGGAGGGCGCGTTGTACGCGCTGACAGCCGCGGGGCGGGAGGCGGCCCGGCGAGGCGGCATCCCGCTGGGCGGGCAGCGCAAGCGGCAGAAGAAGGGCGAGTGAGGCCCGCGCCGCCTCGGCGGCGGGAGGCGCGAGGGGCAAGCGCGTCTCCGTGCGTCGCTTCCCACGGCAAGAGACGCGGCCCGGGTACCAGGGGTGGCCCGGCCTAGCTCCGCCGGGCCACTTGCGAAGCCGTACTGTCGCGCGATTTGCATGGGCCGTGCGCCGAATCGGACGCCGCAAGAGAGAGTGTGAGACATCGTGCGTCGTGTGTGCGGCTCTCTAGCGGTAGCAGCGCGGCGCGGGGGCGGGCTTCAACTTGCCCCGCGGTCTCTGCCGGGAGTCCGATCTGTCTCCGATCTCCGTGTCGGCGCACCGACCACCGATCTCTCCCGATTTTGCTGATGTTGTGTATACGTAAATGCGTACAGGCTCTCTAAACGTACCTGGCCGTGTGTGGCTGCTGCCTCTAGTAACCCCATCATGCGTGTCTCATTCCGCCTTTGGCTTCGGTTCTGTCTCCCCGTCGCTATCGCTGTCCTCCGCGTCGCCGTCGCCCTCGTCCTCCTCGGCCTCCACTGCCAGATAGGCGAAGAAAGCAGACGCACCAATCGCGCAGCCGAAGAAGGTGGCGTCGCGCTTGGTGCTCGCAAACTCGCTCCCGTGGAGGAACGCAGCCACGTACACACACAGGAGGACAGCCCACGCCGCAAGCGACGCCCACCACGCGCGGCTGGACGCCGCCGCCGCGGCGGGACGGCGGACTGTCATTTAGCTCTCTGCTCGGTCACGCCTATCAACGCGAGCGGCACACTGCCAAAAAAAGCCTCGATTGCCATACAGACATGGGTGCGAAACAACGACAAGACCAAGGCACGGGCAGAGGAACGAGAGAAGAATATAGGGTGGATAAAGCGCCTGTTCACGGCATGGAGGGTGAGCCACACCGAACGTGCCGAGCGAAGAGCCGAGCGGAAGGAGGACGGGGAAGATGACTCCGAGGAGGACGAACCAGTGGAAATCCAGTTGTCAGATGTCACGATGCATCCGAAGGGGACCCCAGCGCCGGCATCATCCGTAGAGGCACGAGTGTTCGAAGAGAGAGTGGACCTGAGCAACAACATGACCTGTAGGCAAATGATCGGAGTGGGAGTCAGAAATGTGGTCCTTGCGCGAGGGGAGCTCGATAGACTCGAGGGGCCAGGATACGCCGCGAGGAGGACGGAGTTGCGCCGAAAGGCGAAAGAAGCCGCGAGAACAAGGGACCGGCAGGCGGCGGCGTCGCAGGACGAGGCAGAAGAGAACGACGCGACAGAGGAGGAAGTGACAAGGGAGAGAACGACGAGGGTGGGACGACCGCGAGGTGGCATGAAGGTTGCAGCGAGAATCGGCGAGAGACTGCGAAGAGAGATAGGAAGAGGCAGACTCCCTAGGGTGGGCGACGGATAGCGCACCACACACCTCTCCTTAAAATCCCTGTGTGGTGGCGGCGTGCCGTCCTCCCATCCCTCCCTTGGGTTGTCTGTTTTATTTCTTTTTTATGCCAAAAAAAGACTGTCGGCCTCCGGAAGAAGAAGGCCCCCAAAAGAAAAATTCTCGGCTTTCGGGCACGCGGGACCACAGAATGACGGTAGGCTGTGGAGCGACAGACAGAAACACAAAATATAACGAAATGGGCTGCCACCAATCCCGAGTGTACCTACGGCACTACCTCCAGGGGTATAAAACTGCCCGAAAAAAGAATTCCATGCGCGGTCGCGCCCCGCCGCTATCGCGGCCGACAAGGACACAACGACCTAACCGAGGTCAACATGAGCTGCCGCTACATCCCGCACCGCGGTGCCGTCGACCTCGGTCGCGCGCATCTCGTGTTGGACGGGGACGAAGCGCGGCCGACCTCTCCCGCCGAGGCCGAGTACCAGGACGCGCTCGCGCGCCGGCTGTTTGCGGGATCGCCCGCGACCACGCGCGTGCTGCGCCTGAGCCAGCGCCGCCCGTCGGACGAAACGCCCGAGCCGTCGCTCCAGCAGTGCCTCCGGGCAAACAAGCGGAAGCGGCCTGACGTGCGGCGGCGGCACATCCCGTCCTCGCCCACGCTGATCCTCGACGGGCCCGGGCTGCGCGACAACTTTTACCTCAATGTCGTCGACTGGGCGGCCACCAACATCGTGGCGGTCGGCCTCGAGGGCGTCTGCTACCTCTACCACCCGCGCACCGGCCT